ATAACAGAGGTAAAATATTTTGTATGCCAGACGCGGGTTTCGTCTTCAAAAGGCTCATCAGTCACGGGTTATTTAACTGTCGAGTGAAATAGGCACAGAATAATAATCAGGTCACACAACTTCCTCATTGTTATTGTGTCAAACTTTTGTAGTTTAAAATTGAGAAGATAATAATCGGGGCAATCATTATTGTATTTCGAAGGTAATATTGTGTCCAAGGTTAATTTTGTTTTATAGCGTTTTGAGAGAATTTGTGCATTTAATTTAACTGTTATATGTAGAAGAAAAAAAATTAAAATACATTAAATAGAAATGGTACGTACAAAATGTATGTTCATGTACATTTAGTTGAACAAGTTTGAAATAGCTAAATGTGTCAATATTAAAACGAATATTTGTGTCTAAATCTTTGAAAAAGAGATGTTGGGTTAATATATGAGTGTACAGAAAAGGGGAACAGAAAATAAAGCCACAATTTAACTGAAAATACAAAAACAAAATATTTGTTTAATTAAATTTTAAAAATTAAATATATCTTTTCTTTTTTTAATTTACAAGACTTCCTTTAGCAAAAGATTAAGTGACATGTGTAATAGTTTTTTTACTTCCTTTCTTCTTTTTTGACAATTTAATATTAAAGTTGAATTAGAAAAAAGCAGTATTATTTAAAAAACATATCTTTATTCAGATCAACAATTTCTTTTCTGTGGATGAGTTTTACAACGTTATATCATGACATGAATATTATTTTGGACAATTGACAGAAAAGGTGAAAGGTAAAATTAAAATAGAACAAGACAATTATTTTGTAAAAAATATTTCCGTACTCCTAACAACAAAGTAATTTTATTTATAGTTACCTGTGTACGTTATTTTATTAAACGCCATTTTGTCCAAGGTTATAGTTGTCTTTTTGACATTGTTTTTCATATTGTATTTATATTGTGTCATATATCAAATGTATTTGTTCAGTGTATGTTTACTTGTTTTGTCCTTTTAATCGAGTTAGCCATTTCAATTGATATTTTATAGGGTGTCTTTCTATGTTGTAATGTTATACTATTGTTTTAGGTTAGAGTAAAAGTTAGCACCTGTTAAAACGTTTAAACCCGCTGCATTTGTTTGCACCTGTTCTAAGTCAGGAACCTGTGGTTGTCGTTTGTTAATGTGGTTCATAAGTGTTTCTCGTTTCTCGTTTTTTTTTAAATAGATTAGACTGTAGATTTTTCCGTTTGAATGGTTTTACACTAGTCATTTTTGGGGCCCTTTATAGCTTGCTGTTCGGTTGAGCCAAGGTTCCGTGTTGAAGGCCGTACTTTGACCTATAATGGTTTACCTTTCTACAAATTGTGACTTGGATGAAGAGTTGTCTCATTGGCACTCATACCACATCTTCTTATATCCAGTTAGTGTATAAGTATCTTTCTTGTGTATGACTGTGTTTATATGGCTCGTGTGTATGGCTATGTGTATAAGTCTCTTGTGTATGGCTTTGTGTATAATAAAGTCTCTTGTGTATCGCTATGTGTATGAGTGTCTTGTGTATGGCTGTGTGTATAAGTCTCTTGTGTATGACTGTGTGTATAAATCTCTTGTGAATGGCTGTGTGTATTAGCCTCTTGTGTATGGATGAGTGTATAAGGCTCTTGTGCATGTCTGTGTGTATTTATAAATCTCTTGTGTATGGCTATGTGTGTAAGTCCTTGGTGTATTGCTGTGAAAATATTTCATGGACCAAACTTTTCTGTTTAACAAAATAATCAGGACGTTTATAATTTGCAATTAACAATCATTGATCAGAAATGAAACAAAAGCTGACCACGTATTCTAATATTAAAGTTAATTCAGAGAAAAAGAATGATGTCATAAATTTCACTATTTGTAGACCGGACAAAAAACATAATATCCTTGGTGTTTTAATTTTGACTTTACTACTACCAGAGTGAAGTCTTTATACCTGTGACTTTTCCTTTTTACGTTATATGTACATATTAATTCTAGCAGGTTAATTTCCTTTAGAACAACTCTCGATACATAAAGGTCTTTCAGTTTTGAGTCGAAGAAATAAATAAACTTTCCAAATATATATATTATCATGAACATGATGACATTTCAAATAATTTTCTTTATACTTTTCCCCTACATATTCATTAACTATAATATTTTTCCTACCATATTGTGACTTTTTACCTTTAACCCAAAATAAACAGTCAAGGAACATTGGTTTAGTCTAAAACTATTTGCGAACTAGTAAACTTTCTCACAGCGTTTTGTTTAAAATTGGTTTAGTATATAACGTCACTAAACTGCAAAAACATATCTAGCTGCTAAAAGGCGCCAAAACGGGTCCTTTGCAAGAACGCCCAAATAACATTAAACGTTATTGACGTCGCTGAGGACATATTTCTATTAGCGCTAAAGGTTTCTGACGTTATGCTTTCTTTAAAGTGGACACGTTTTGACAAATAACAATTATCAGACACGTTTGGGGATGTAAAATCGGACACGTTTGGGAAATTTGGGATTTTAGGGACACATTTTAACAAAATAGACACGATTTAGGGCATCGGACACGTTTGGGGGATGGAAACGTTTGAGAGTGTAACATATTTACTGGGTCAACTAATTTAATTTCTGTTAAATAAGGTATTATCTGTAATATGTAGGGTGTTGAGGGGTAAGGAAATCTTACATAATGTTGCTTAAGTCAGTTGTGTTATTTTTCTTTGCATTACAGAGTTTTACAACTGAGTCATGCATCTGTATCTATAACCAATAAAAAATAAAATCACAAAAATACTGAACTCCGAGGAAAATTCAAAACGGAAAGTCCCTAATCAAATGGCAAAATCAAATGATAAAACACATCAAACGAATGGACAACAACTGTCATGTTCCTGACTTGGTACAGGCATTTTCAAATGTAGAAAATGATGGATTGAACCTGGTTTTATAGCGCTAAACCTCTCACTTGTATGACAGTCGCATCAAATTCCGTTATATTTAAAACGCTACAAGTACTATTACTATTTATTTGTTCCACCTGACACCATGTCGTTTTCCATATTGAAATATCTATCAGTAAAGATCCCCGAATTAACAGTTTCAGTCCAAATATCTTCATATATCTAAACTTCATATTACTAATTATTTACAAAATATAAGTGCACCATTATAAATGCTCATAATTCTCTTTAATGTAACTGTAACTAAATGAGTGGAGACAAAGTGTCCATTTATTCATTTACATTTTGTTTTTAGGAATAAAATGTAGGAGTGTCTATCAACAATTTTTATCTGATTTTATGACAAATTCTACATCTTGATATTTAATTTATACCTTTTTAAAATCAAAAACTTTCTACACATAAAAAAACAATTGGAAGTTGTTTGTCTTTTTCTAAAAATGTATTCCAAATTTCCGCTGTATCTTATTGACCAACAATATGTTTACAAGAATCGTTATCTTGTAAGCGCTCTCACATACACAATTCTTGCCAGCTTTTTATGAAGTTTATATCCGAAGTTTATTTCAGTAATGTCTTGAAAGATTTTAAAACTTAGAGCCGATCAATCATTTTAATAGGAATTATGCTTCTTTGAAGTATAATTTATAGTAAAATTTGAATAGTTAGAATTATCACGCCAACAGCTCCTTTAAGGATGTTCGCTCATCCTGTTTATGACTTTTTGTCAGATTTTCGGAATCCTCTAGTTTTATCCAAGTGAGAGCCATTAAAGTTTTGCCTGCTTTCCCCCACTTTTCTTTTCATATTTTTATTACATATAGTTTAAAAAGCCATTTTTGAAAATCTTATAAAATCCTATATATATTTTCATTGTTTTTGATAGATAAAAGATTCCAATGTTAAAATGTATGAAAAGTCTAGAGAGAATCATTTCCCGCCAAAATTTCAATTTCTAATATCTAGAAAACAAGCACACAGACCCTACATTGTTTTCTGCTTTTTTATTTCCTTCATTCGTATACTATCAATTTATTACATTCTTTCAAAAAGCTTGTTAATTTGTAACAGAGTAGCAAACATCCTTAAGCAATAAATCAAGATAAAACTCTTCTTATCTGTTTATGTATGTAATAGTTTTTACATTTGCCAGGTTCATCTGCAAGATAAGTAGATTTTTTTCTAATTTGCCTAAATAAGGTTTTTGTATAACTGTCTAGTTTAAAATCAAATCTGACAATGATAATCAATTCAACCTATTTTATAAATTCAAATTTTTTTTCTATATCAACCATTTTCAAACCCCCTTAATTTTGTTATAGTTTTATACAAACCTTTTACTGGTTGCGTTTTGTTGACCGGTAAAGAACATAATTGATTTGTTTTATAGTTTATCTTCATTTAATGTTTGAAACTTTTTTTCTATTTCACAAAAACATATTCATTAATTTTTCACTTGATGATTTGCCTTGTTAATATTTCAATACTTTTTATTACAAAGCTTGTGTTCTGCAAATACCATCTGTTTAAGTGTTTCTGACTTCATCAAATGCAACGCATCCTATTAAGTTAATAAGCATAAATACCAGAAGAGATATGAGACAAAACTTAAAAAAAAAACCAAAAAAACAAAAAAAAAAACAATACAGCAACGAAAAACAAAAAGGTCTGTTGAAGGTTTGGCACAGGAGGAACTGATAAAGAGAAAATTTAAAGAAAGGTATAATCTCTTCAGGTAAGGATCATAGTTATCATACACTGAATCGATTTATGGATTATTTTGTAGCACTGACAGCAATTATTTGTACAACCTTAATTGTATACTAGAAAAGATCTAAAATAAGAATCTGTAAACGTTCACCAAGCATATCTATCACTAAATTTGCCATGTCATATTCGTTAGAGATAGGTGTAGTATGGGTAGAATTACAAGTTATTACTTTTTTTTTAAATTTCGTATGTATAATGTTAAGCGTTTTTGAATAGTATCAAATATTTTAGGTAAACCATTGTTAAACTTTAAACTTTCAGTTAGAGTCGCAATAACACACCAGGAAGCTGGAGTTCATGTTATATGCATGTGACTGCATACAAAACACTGAAATAAGTGATTTTGCCACTGAAATCGTTTTCGCAAAAAAGCCAAAAAATAATCATGAACATCATAAAAATTGGACTCTTTTGGATCTTAATCTCCTTAAAAGAAGGTCAGTTTTATGTATGTTTATATTAAAATTTTAATATTTAACTTAAAGGTTTGACAACTTCGTAAAAAGCATACTGTTAAAAGCGAACCTTATGCCTTCCAAGAGATACTTAGTAGAACCGATACAGTTGTTTTAGTAAATTGTCTATGTTCAAAATACTAAACGTTGAATCCCAACTTTCTAGTTTGATTGGATAGAGATGTGTTCTACAGCTAACAAACTCTGAAAAATAAGGGATATGTCACCTTCTTAATAGCGGAATATAAAGATAGTGAGTCATGCTAGCTTTTTCATTATCTCTTAGAAGATCCAGTATAGATAAGGATATGTGTTGTGATTGACAGTGAGACATTCACTGTTTAAGTGTTTCTGACTTCATCAAATGCAACGCATCCTATTAAGTTAATAAACATAAATACCAGAAAAGATATGAGACAAAACTAAAAAAAAAAACAATACAGCAACGAAAAAAAAGGTCTGTTGAAGGTTTGGCACAGGAGGAACTGATAAAGAGAAAATTTAAAGAAAGGGTATAATCTCTTCAGGTAAGGAACATAGTTATCAGACACTAAATCGCTTTATGGATTATTTTGTAGCACTGACAGTAATTATTTGTACAGCCTTTATGGTATACTAAAAAAGATCTAAAATAAGAATCTGTAAACGTTCACGAAGCATATCTATCACTAAATTTGCCATGTCATATTCGTAAGAGAGAGGTGTAGTATGGATAGAATTACAAGTTATTACTTTTTTTTATATTTGGTATGTATAATGTTAAGCGTTTTTGAATAGTATCTGAAAAATTAGAGATATGTCACCATCTTTATAGCGGAATATAAAGATATTGAGACATGCTAGCTTTTTTCATTATCTCTTAGAAGCTCCAGTATAAATAAGGAGATGTGTTATGATTCACAATGAGACAAATATCAACAAGATACCAAAATAAAGTATATTGTATAACATCGATTTATATATATAATGGAATAAGTAGGCAAGATGAGGAGTACAGTATGTTCCCATAAATATTCCAAATTCGTTGAAAACCACGTCTTCCACACGAAAACAACATGCCTTCAGTATAGAAATCTTACATCCCCCAGAGTTTTTTTTTCGAATCAACAAACCAAGGAACAAAAAGCTGTGTAAGTCAAAGTAGAATGACGTTCACTCACAATAATGTTAGGAAAAGCTAATAGTAATTCAATTATTAGGTATATACTTTTAAGATGATGACCTATACAAATTTCTTCACTTTAGACCCTCGAATCTCAATTGTTAACGATAAACATTATCTAACATGTCTTATTAATCATCAAAAATATATAGCATTGACGTTAAACTAATATTTCTTTACTCTTGCAGTTCAAAGTAATAGTAATAAGACGAAATGCAACGTGCAAAATAAAAATGTTGATTGCAGCCATTTAGCCTTGACTATAATACCTAGACACTTACCAACACAAGCAACTAGTATGGATTTAAGTACAAACAACCTTCAAATAGTTAGAGGTTCTACTTTTCAGTGTTTCAAAAACATCACCGATCTTAATCTTGGATATAATTTAATACAATCAATCGATGCTAATGCTTTCTATGGGTTGCATCGCCTACAAAGCCTACATCTGGAACACAATTTCTTGCAGGTTTTACCCATTGGAATGTTCGATAAACTTGAGTGTTTGCAGCATCTTTCGATTGATCACAATAAACTACAAAATCATCAGGATGACCAAATAAAGGAAATGTCAAAGATCCTATCACTGACGACCCTTTCTTATGACAAACATCAAGATTACAAGTTTCCCAGCCAATGGTCTACATTAAGTAAATTGAACCATTTGATGATTTTCCCTAGATCGGCAAAAGTGCAATTCAACAAGGAGATGTTTACTCATATTAAAATGTTGCCAATAATGTCTTTGCACTTACACTAGGTGCCGTCCATATCAGATGATTTTTTTGAAAATTTTCCTAAATTAGATTCAATATCGTTATGGCTAGGTGACGATTTACCTAAAAATCCAATTGATCAAGTATTCAGATCTTTTGGGGTATTTAAAAGTAGGAACATGACAAATATTGAAATTGCATACAGTAGATTTGATAACGAGTTTATTTTAAACCGGAACAGACTGCAATATTTATGGTCAATTTGCTTGAAACGACTTACATTGCATTATTTATATATTAAAGACATATCCATATATGCGATGCAAGTATTTTCTGTTCGAAGCACTTGTCTTGAGTACTTAGAGATTTCTAAAAATATCTTGTTGGACCGAGGGGGTTCTTTTTTTACCATTTTGCAGAACTTTAAAAATTTAAAAGTTTTGAAAATTACAAGTAATTGGCATCATTTGAGAAGTAAACGCTCTCAACCGTCAAGATTATATAGTCTCGTGTTACCACAAACTCTTGAAGAGTTGTATATAGGAGATAACTTGGCTGCCGATATGGTTAATATTAATTTTATAAACGGTCATAATCTTCGTGTGTTGAGCTTAAAAAACTCTGAAATCTGGTCATGCGAAGGTAGCTTCGCAGGAATTATAAATGTTGAGTATTTTGATATGTCTGGATGGGCATGCGAAAAGCTGTCAATCAATTTGCTATATGGTTTCCCAAATTTAAAGATATTGAAAGCAAGTGGGTCACTTCTAGGATATGGATTTGTCAACACGGCTGGAGCTGGGTCTTTCTTGAGTAAGAATCTGAGATTGCAAGATATTAATCTTTCGTCTAATAGGATAAACAGTGTACCAACTGGATTATTTTTGCGTCAATTTGAACACTTATCATCAGTTAATATGTCTCATAACAATCTCACAATATTTCCTATGTTTCATGCAAGTATTAAAGCATTAAAAAAGATTGATTTGGCCTTTAACAGCATAACACACTTCAATAACGACGACATTGAACAAGTTGAAAAGCTTGGCGAAGTTGACATATTGTTGAGAGGAAACCCCTTTCAATGTTCCTGTAAAACATTACAGTTTTTAAAGTGGTTAGCTCAGACAAATCGAGTACCGGATATTTTAGATCTGACATGTGTAACTGAAAAGGGTTCACGCAGGTTTATGTCTGAAGTTATTTCCAACCTTAAGACATTTGTGATTTCTTGCAAAACGAAATTCTGGTTGTCGTTTGCTGTGTCTATAACCTCCATTATCGTAATTACCATAATAATAACCGTCGTAATCTTTCGATATAAATATGCTGTTGAGTATTTTTTATTGAGATTGAATATGAAAATGAAAAATTACAAAGAATTGTGGCAGGAATATACTTATGATGCTTTTATATCATACAGTCATACAGATGCGGAATGGGTAAAACAGTTCCATGACAAGGTTAATAGCATGGGCTTCGAATTATGCCTGGACGCCAAGGACTTTATTGCTGGTAACAGTATAGCAGAAAATGTTATTAATGCAATAGATTCCAGCAGAAAGGTTATATTTATTATAACTCATGACTTCTTACAGAGTACTTGGGGTTCGTATGAAATGGAAATGACTCGCATGCATGCTTTTCAGAAGGGAAGAGAAGACATGGTGATTATTGTTGTAAGGGATAAGATAAAGGTAACCGATATGCCGGAAATATTAAAGAGTATGTGGTTTAAAATTACATGTATCCAATGGCCAAACGATGACAACCTACCATACAATACGGAGGAAATATTTTATGAAAAGTTGAAAATGTCTCTCCAGAAGAAGGAAGAAACTGCTTTACCATATTCTAGAAATTCAGTTATATAGAGGGTTTGGCATCATTTCAGGACAATAATGAAATCTGGAAAAAACTGCTTTGGTTAGTAGCAATTAAGTTCATATAGATGTGATAAGAACAGTGACACAAGAGAGAGCAAAAAGAGGACAAAACCAGACTATAATTTGTATATAAATATGGTCATATTCAAAATACAACTGTTACGTATAATCAACGGTTTATATGTTACCTGACCGTTTTCTTTTATGCTCTGAAGCGTCTCTTATTTTGAACATTTATTGATTGTGCCACAAATCGTTTTTATTTTTTTGCAAGGTCAAACTTTTAGTTATGATTGTTCCTGTGATTGATGTTGCAGAAACACGTGTTGTACTCACAGAATCTGTTTGGTTTATTGTTGTTAGACACTAGCGTATATTAGTATCAGATAAGTATCAATGCTAACTGAACATATATAGGTAATTATGGATAAGTACATCATAAGTTGAGGACAAAATAATACTCGCTTAGGATATGATTGATTGATAAGTGTTGTTTAACGCATTTTTTAAGCTCTCTTGCCTATATTGTGGCGGTCAGTTTTTATTCGTGGGGGAAACCGAAGTACACAGAGAGAACCACCGAATTCATTATCTCCGTGTTGGCAGGGAGGTGCTTGCAGTAAGTGAACTTCTAAGCCAACTCAGATAAGCAGTCTGCGCCGCGTATAATATGAATATTCCTACCGATTATTAAGATCCTTGTGTGCTGTCGTAAATTCATGGAAGGTGTCCGCTGTTATTTTGCGATTTACATGTTGTTATATTATTTATTAATGTCCGTTTCTATGTTTGTTGGCGTTTGCTTTTGTTGTAGTATAGTGTTTCTGTTTTTCCGTTGTTTTCCTATCATAATTGATATGTTTCCCTCGGTGTTAGTTTGTTGCCCAGATTTGTGTTTGCTTTTTCGAATTTTGTCTATTGAAAAACGGTATACTACTATTGCCTTTATTTGACGCTCTTTCATTTTTACGAAAAAACATTTACCCTAACTTTCTACTCGATCATTTCTCCGGTTTCTATTTTCATATTTTTCGTTACAGTGATGCATCCTAAACATTCTGTGTTATATTTTCTGACTTTAGTAAATGTCAGTTTTTAACTTAGATTTTAATTATGAATACAAAATAAGCAAGGTAAACACAAATACAAACTCCAACAATACAGAAAACCAAAAATAAAACAGACCGTTTTTAGAAATGTGTGATGGGTAGTATATAAAAGAGGGACGAAAGATACCAGAGGGACAGTCAAACGCATAGATCGAAAACAAACTGACAACGCCATGGCCAAAAATAAAAAGACAAACAGACAAATAATAGTACAGATGACACAACATAGAAAACTAAAGACTAAGCCACACGAACCCCACCAAAAACTGGGGATGATCTCAGGTGCGCCGGAAGGGTAAGCAGATCCTGCTCCACATGTGGCACCCGTCGTGTTGCTTATGTTATTACAAATCCGGTAAAAAGTCTAATTCGGTAGGTCACATTCGTGAAAAGGGAAGGGTATTGTAGTTACAACATAAGGAACATATCCGATATCATCTGTGAAACGGTTATTTCATAACGGTCAACCAACTCGTGATGGCGTCCGTAAAATTTACGAAGGAATGAGTTCAACTTCACCATTTGGAACTCTTGGTTTAATAGCTTCTTTGTGAGCAGCAATCCTCTATCAAGGAAATCATGATAGGAAATACAAGCCCGGGAATATCATATCAATTCGGAGACATACTCCGTATGCAGACGCTGCTGGAATGTTATTACATAGAAATGGAAAGTTCACAATTGGGAAGCTGAAATCATCTCTTTTGTCGTAAAGTTTTGTTTTTTAACCGACCCTCAATTTCTAGATGTAAGTCACGATATGAGGCAGACTTCACTGTATTTGTAGTATTCTTTATCTCTAGTTCGATGGGATAGATTCGGTCAACATACTCACCAAATTTTGTATTATTTAGTGAGAGAACATCATCTATATAGCGGAACGTAAAGTTTAAGGATATTGCTAACTTCTTATCTTTCTTCCTAAGAAGTTCCTGTATGAAGTCAGCCTCATAATAATAAAGAAACAAGTCGGCAAGAAGAAAGGCACAATTGGTTCCCATAGGAATTCCGACAGTCTGTTGAAAAACTCGTCCTCCAAACGTAACAAATACGTTGTCAATCAAGAAATCAAGCATCTTGATAATGACAGATTCAGAGAATTTTTTGTTTGAATCAGAGTGATTCTTTACAAAGTAGGATTTATCCCTCCCAAAGACAAGATACTTGTATCTACGTTCGCCATTCTTTTTAATGAAACAAAATAATACCAACTCTTTCAATTTGTCTTTTAGTTTGGAATGGGGAATATTTGTGTAAAGTGTAGAAAAGTCAAATGTTGTAATACTATTGCAAGATGAAAGAGTCTTAGATTGTATGTACTCTGAAAGATCTTTGGAATTTTTTAGTATCCACATCTGATTCACGCCACCTCTAGAATAGGCAGTTTCACAACAACTTTGGAGCCCGGCTTTGATTGGTGATAAAATAGATGTTAATAATTTAGAAAGAGGTTTCGTGGAGCACTTGGAAGACCCAGCAATATACTGTTGTTTGTAAGGACACTTATGTAGTTTAGGTATCCAATACAGTGAAGGAAGATCCAGTTCTTCATCTTTGGTTGAAATTCCAAAGGAACATAGAACAGACCTATGATTATCCAGAATTTCCTCTTTGGTAAGTGTCGTGAGGGTATATGTTGAGTTTCCAAATGAATTGTCAATACCTAATTCATTTATCAAGCAGTTTATATAATGATATTTACACACAAAAACGATGTTGTTTGGGGCTTTATCTGCGGGGACAACAACATATTTGTCATGGAGGTAGGACACGTGTTTTGCAACATTTGGGTCTTTAAAAATTGACGTAGCGTTGGTATTGATAGACCCATTTAGTTTCTTAATTCGGATTTGTATCAACGACCTCACAGCCTTAATCCATTCGGAAAGAGTATCTAAGTCTTCTTTCTCGCGTTTAGCCCATTGCCTGGCATAATCCTCGACTGAATCCATCAGTATTTTGAAGTTGTATTTCCAATTGATGGATTTAGGCTCACGATATTTCGGACCTTTGGATAACAAATTTCGCAGGGAAGTGTTATTGACGATGTTGAGGTCTCCGGTAATAACGTGGGCAGCCGGATTATATGTGAATTTGGAACTAGCACATGTGCAATCAGGAGGTTTAGACTTGAAGTCGTCAATGTTGAGATCCTGCAAAACGTGTTTGTAATTGAAAATTTTAGTTGCAATTTGTTTGGTATAGGTATCAGAAATTATTGGTACAGACTGATCTTTAAAATAAGGAGGTATTTTTGACTGAACTAATTCATGATGAAGGATATTGCCTAAGTTGACGCCATCGAGACCTTTGTTGGCAAAGGAAAGTTTAAGAAAAGATCTTTTCTCTATTTCATCTTTTCCAATGCGAACTGGTTTGAAAAGTCTGTGACTTGCAATATCTGAAATGATAGCTGTTAGTTTGTATTGGTTTGAATGAGGGTTTGTAACAGTGGTTCCCAAACATAAATTGAATAGAGAATGAAGTTTTCGAAGAGGTAATGAATAAAGTTTCGTGCGAATGTGATGAATACCTAACGGCTTTTGTATAAATGGCAGCAAGTCATTAATAGAGACATCATGCCAAGTAGGTGATGTATGATGACGATGACCATGACTGCGTCTACGTCGAGGATCACATTCACCGAGCTACAGGAAGGACTAGATATAATATCTATACCATCAATTTTGTCATTGCAACCATATGGTGTCGCAGTTCCCAATTGTCGAATCCAGTAGTCCTCTTTTTGTCTACGGAGAGGCGTTGCAAGTTGTGGATTGTTAGTCTTGTGGTATATTTTTTCGATAATACGAACTGTCATAGAAACGATGGAATGATCAGGCTGATTAAAATGCTGGTACAGAATGTCGTTTGCATTGAGGTTGATATCTGATCTATGGCCGCACATTCGTTTGTTTAGCCTTCCATTCGTTTCACCGACGTAAACCAATCCACAAAGGTTACACTCTAATCCGTAGACGACATTTATAGATTTACAATTCAGATCATCGTAACTTCTAGTAAAATAAGACTTTTTAGTTAAATTGCTAGTGAATTGAGCATCTGTTATTAAAATTTCACAAGTATTCCAGCCATTTGTTCCACATTTCGAAATGAGACAGTGTTGTTCAGAGTCATCAAAATCCAAAATGTCTTTAAGGAGAACTTTATAAGTGTCATAAAAGTTTAGACTCTCAGGGGTTGTAGGCATAAACATGTTGAAAATTTTCCACACATTTCTATGTTTTGACATTTAGCATACGAACTTTCCATTCTAGGATACGTTTTTTTTATGAAACTTCGTAGTAAAAGTGGCACAGTTTTAGCCGCAAATGGAGTTCCTATGGAAAATTGCATAATCTATATTTACAAAAGTGCAACTTGTAGCAACACGATGGGTGCCACATGTGGAGCAGGATCTGCTTACCCTTCCAGAGCACATGAGATCACCCCTATATTTTGGTGGGGTTTGTGTTGCTTAGTCTTTAGTTTTCTATGTTGTGTCTTGTGTACTATTATTTGTCTGGTTGTCTTTTTATTTTTTAGCCATGGCGTTGTCAATTTATTTTCGATCTATGAGTTTGACTGTCCCTCTGGTATTTTTCGCCCCTCTTTTGTAGGTTAAGGTAAGAAAAAGTTTTGTTTAGTTGAATCTTTGTTTGGCATTCATTTGTAGAAAAACAAACCTGAGCTTACTTCAGTCTAATCTCAACTTAATATGAGGACTTTCTCTATAGAGAGTAGATTTGAGATTTCCCACGGAACGAAATTTTGGTTGCCGTTTGCTACCTTTTTAACCTCCATTATTATAGTTGCTGCAACAATAATCGATATAAATATGCTATTGAATAAAATTGAGAATGAAATGGGGAATATGTCAAAGAGACAACAACCCGACCAAAGAGAAGACAACAGTCGAAGGCCACCAATGGGTCTTCAATGCAGCGAGAAAATCCCGCATTCGGAGGTGGTCCTCAGCTGGCCCCTTAATACAATTGTGTGCTAGTTCAGTGAAAATGGACGTCACACTAAACTCCAAAACATATAAATGAACTTAAATTAAAAAACATACTAGACTAACAAAGGCCAGAGGCTCCTGAATTGGGACAGGCGCAAAAATGCGGCGGGGTCAAACATGTTTTGTGCGATCTCAACCCTCCCCCTATACCTCTAGCCAATGTAGAATAAAGAAACACATAGCAATACGCACAGTAAAAATCAGTTTAAAAGA